GCTTGCCGCAACTAGAGAAAGCCTGTGTGCAGCAACGAAGACCCAATGCAGCCAAAAATAAATAAATAAATAAATTTATTTTAAAAAATAAGAAAAAATTTAAAAATTATTTTACCTTAATTTATTCCTCTCTAACACTCTTCCTTTCTTTATGTACATCCAAATTTCTGACCTATATAATTTTCCTTCTCTCTGAATAATTTATTTTAACATTTCTTGTGGTAGATCTACTTGCAAAAATTCCCTCAATTTTTGATTGAAAAAATCTTTATTTCTCACCTTTGAAGGATAAGTTCACTGGATACAGAATTATAGATTGGTGGATTTTTTTCTTTCAATACTTTGAATATTTCAATCTGCTCTCTTCTTACATGTGTGATTCTGAAGAGAAGTCTGATATAATTCTTATTTTATTTTCCTCTCTAGGTAAAGTCTTCCACATCCCTCACTCCCCCAGATCTCTCCATACTGCCAGTCTGGATTCTTTGTGTTTGGCTTTGTGCAGTTTTAATATGATATGGCCAGGTGTGGTTTTGGTATTTATCCTGTTTGGAGTTCTTTGGATCACCTGGATCTGTGGTTTTGTGTCTGTCGTTGATTTTGGAATATTCTCAGCCATTATTATGTCAAATTGTTCCTCTGTTCTTTTCTCTTTCTTCTCTTTCTGGTATTACTATTATGCATATGTTAAAACTTTTGTAATTGCCCTATAATTCTCAGATATTCTGTTCCATCTTTTCATTTTTTTCTTTTCCTCTTTGCATTACAGTTTTGAAAGTGTGTACTGTTACATCTTGAAACTCTTTGATTCTTTTCTTGGCCATATCTAGTCTACTGATGAGCCCATCAAAGGCATTCTTCATTTTCATTACAGTGTTTTTGATATAGCATTTTCTTTTGATTCTTTCTTAGAGTTTCCATCTCTCAGCTTACATACTCATCTGTTCTTTTATGTTGTCAACTTTTTCAGTAAATCCTTTGGCATATTACTTATTGTTTTAAATTCCAATTCTGATAATTCCAAATTTTCTGATGCTTGATTTGTCTCTTCAGGTTCTTTCTTTTTGCCTTTTAGTGTGCCTGGTAATTTTTTGTTGAAAGCTGGACATGTTATATTGGGTAAAAGGCAACTTTGGTAGATAGGTCTTTAGTTTGAAGTTTTATGTTTATCTGGCTAGGAGTCAGTCTGTGTCTACTATTTGCTGTAGCTCTTGTGGCCAAGTCTAAAATTTCCTCTTATGTCCTTGTTTTTGTTTTTCCTGTTGTCTTTAAGTGTTCCTGGAGACTTTAAATAGGGGTGAGCCTTGCAGTATCTCATTCCTTGTTATTTTATAGGAGCCCTATTGCTATGGTGGTAATGTGAGGAAGGGTGGGAGGAAACCTTCTATAGTCCTATGATTAGGTCTCAGTCTTTCAGTGAACTTTTTGCTTCCTCTGTGTCAGTTACACTCTGGTGAAATAGTTTTCCTTGTGGGAAGCCCTTATTAAGTAGAACAGAGTTCAGTAGTATTTCAAAATTGTTACTTTCCTCTTCCCCTGCTGGAAGCAGGTGAGGATTTTTCTCTTAATCTCCACAGTGAGAACCTAGTGAGGCTCATGGAGGTAAAACTCATAGAAGTTTGGAGAATCCTTCTTTAAGGCTGAGGCCCCTCCTAATTTTTCATTCTTAAGCTAGTATTCATATTGAACTTCCAGAAATTAATCAATTATAGTTGAAAGTGTTCCTACCCCAGGACTGGCTTCAGCCAACAGTTCTGCGCCTGTGCTTTTGTTACCAGTAAGTCCTTATCCTCTGTATCTGCCTGGCTGTCTCTCCAGTTTTCAGGGAAGCAGTTTGCCCTGTGACCTCAAATATCCAATAGATCTAAGAAGAGTCGTTGGTTTTCAGTTTGTTCAGCTTTTTCCTTTTTGTGAGGATAGGAGTGACTACTTCCAGGCTCTTCATATTTCAGAACAGAAACCAGAAGTTCCTATGTTTCTTATTAGAATGAAGATTTCACTTTCACTCAGTCTTATTAGTCTCTTAAGCCTTTTCTTTTCATGTAGGAACTTCACTGGAAACAATGTTTCTAGTGAATATTTGAACATAGATTACATTTGGGCGAGATACTTTTTTCATCTATTTTTTTCAAAATTATCTTTTCATTTATTGACTTTTCTAAATGCAGACTGCAGTCCTCCTCAAGCTGTAAGGCTATGAATCCTTGATGCTTTCTTTCTAAGCCTCAATTCAGCAGTTAGAAAGATTTTTTTAAAAATCTGAAATACTTACCTCCCTCAAAGGACATAGACAGAATGAACAGTGAAGAGAATTTGTATACTGTTTTAAAGTACCTCCAATGCACCAGACAGTATCCTGTATGGATACACAGAAATGTAGAGGTAGGATACCTAAATTTTAGTGTTCTCAGGCTAGTCAGGTAACAAGACAGGTGAATAATATCAAACTCATATGCTTCAGGCATGTGCAGAGAAGCACAGAGGTGGGACATTTTGTCTTACCTTGGAGGGTTGGGATGAGGCAGGAAAAAGTCACCTAAAGCAGCTGACATGTGATCTATCTCTTGGAGGATGACTAGGGTGGAGGAGAACATTCCAGCAGAGAAAACTGCCTACAAGTTAGATGGTTTAGTTTATGGTTGCTTTTCTTCTGCAGTCAGGACTTTGAGAACAAGGGAAATTGGGCAAGTTAGGTAGTGTCTTTCCAACTCTATGTATGGCTTTATTAGAACAGATACTTGCTCTATAATGTTTTTCAAAGTCAAATGTAAGCAGTGTTTGAATTGTTTTGTATTATATTGCAGTATGAAATTGAGAATTAACTGCAATATGTATTTCGTATTGATACAAGGTATAACGTGACAAAATAATTTTTTAATTCTCAAATTATGTCTTGTAAGTATTTTGCATGGTGGTAGAATTCATTTGATTTTAAGTTTGATTGGTTTTATTGTTTCTTTAAATGTAAGGATATTTTATGATTTCATAGAAGGAAATTTTTAGAACTGATAACCCACTCATTTTAGCTAATCTCATTTAGTTAAACCATTTCTCTTGAAGTGGTAACCCATTTATAACTTCATGTATATTTTTAGACTCATACATATATTTACTCTTTCAGGTTTATAGTACTGCTACTTTCTGGTGAAGGTATAATGAACATAATTTAAAATTCTACATAAAATACAGGAATACTATTCAATTAATAACTAGTAGATTATCACCTAGTTCTAGTTTAGTGTTGTAGCTTTTGAAATTACTATTACCAGACAATATAAAACTGTTCTAGCATACATCTAATATACTGTTTCTAAAATGAATGAATATGTATACACAGAAAGAGGGATTTTGGACCTATTAGAGAAAGCAAGATAGAGAATCTTATTTCAGATGACAGAAGACAGCACCAAAGTGATCTTAATTTTTCTAAAAAAAAAATCATCTGATCTTGTTTCATATTAAGACTTGACTTTTAATTATGTTGCTGCTAAAATTATTCTCTGAGATACTGTGCATAGATGATTAAAGATATTTTTGAAACACTTCTTAAAATGACCATTAAAGCCTATTAAATCATCACTTTTACTCCAGACATCTCTTTCTTCACTTGCTTTGCTTTCTTTAATAGAAATAGTGTATTAGTTTTCTGTTGCTGCTGTAACAAATTACCGTAAATTTAGTGGCTTAAAACAACACAAATATATTATCCTACAATTCTTGAGGTCAGAAGTTCAGTATGAGTGCCACCAGACTAAAATCAAGGTGTTGGACAGGCTGTTCCTTTCTGGAGTCTTTAGGGGAGAATCCATTTACTGCTTCTTTGAGTTGTTGGCAGAATTCAGTTCCTTGCAAGTATAGCACCTAGGTCTTGTTTTCTTACTGGCTATAAACTGAGGATTATGCCATCTTTTAAAGGCCACCACATTTCCTGGCTCGTTGTCTGCTTCCTCCATCTTCAAAACCAGCAATGGCCTGTCGAGGCCTTCTCACTTTGCATCTTCTGACATACTGTCCTGTAATGTTTTACTTATAAGTATTCATATGGTTAAGTTGGGCCCACTCAGATAATCCAGGGTAATATCCCCATTTTGGGTTCTTAACCTTAATCATATCTGCAAAGTCCCTTTTACCATGTAACATAACATATTAACAGGTTAACAGGAGTTAGGATGTAGACATCTTTGGGGAGCCATGTTTCTGCCTAATAAAACCGGTAGTACTAACTGGTACCTGGCTTTGCTGGATCAGTTTTCCTTTTCTATTTGGAATACCTCTGACTTTTCCCTCTTTGATTCATGGAATACAAAAGAAGTGTTAGGATTCAGCAGAGTCATGATAGTACTATATTAGATATAATACCTATAGGGAAATTATAGGGAAAAGAGAATTCTAGAAATACTGAAAAAAAAGGAAAATATGCTTACAGAGTATTGCTTTGTAAAATAGAAAGTGCTTGTGTATTTTTGTGTTTATATTAACTATTTCGAATCCTTAGTATTAAGGTCCATAGTTATTCAGTACACAGCAGCAGGAAGTAAACCAGTAAAGAGCCTCTTAATTTAAATTTTTTTTAATTTATTTTAAAATTTATTTATTTATTTATTTATTTTGGGCTGTATTGGGTCTTTGTTTCTGTGTGAGGGCTTTCTCTGGTTGTGGCAAGTGGGGGCCACTCTTCATCGCGGTGCGCCGGCCTCTCACTATTGGGGCCTCTCTTGTTGCAGAGCACAGGCTCCAGACACGCAGGCTCAGTAGTTGTGGCTCACGGGCCCAGTTGCTCCGCGGCATGTGGGATCTTCCCAGACCAGGGCTCGAACCCGTGTCCCCTGCATTAGCAGGCAGACTCTCAACCACTGTGCCACCAGGGAAGCCCAAGAGCCTCTTAATTTAGTATGAAAATATTCCAAGATAGATATTCAGAGCAATAAATTTTAATAATTTATGTGAATTTTGATAATGGACAACATTGTATCTTAATATGTTATTTCTTTCCTACTTAGATCATCACGAAGTATGTATATGAGCTCCTGGAAAAGGACTGTAATTTGAAAAAAATATCTATTCCAGTAAGTCCAATTTTTAAAAATATTTATAGTTCCAAATAAAATAGTTTTCAATTCAGAAGAAAACTTTTGTTTTAGGTTAACTGTGATAAGTTTAAATGTTAAGATCCTAGTGTTTTGATATTGATAAAGATAATATTAAATTCCTGTCATTATATCTCATCTCATTGTGCACAATAGTTCTTAAAAAGTAATATTCTTCAGTGTAAAGAAAAACTGCTTTCCAGTCTTTTTTGAAAATGATGACACAAAAGGACTACCCTTTCCTCTACCTTTTCTCATTTCATTGCTATAGTTTATTTTTACGTATTTATTTGAAGTAAACCAGTGTTCCTTTTCTTGTGTTAGACATTCACCATCGCTTTAATTATTTCTTGATTTTTTTTTTAAATTATATGTTTTATTTCTCTGTTATTTCCTCTGCACATCCCCAGATTCACTCCTGGTGCTTCATGTTTCATAACACTACTCATCTCTTTTTTGGTAGAACACTTTTTTGAAGTTTTGCACATTTTGCCATTTCAGAGTGAAAAAGTTTGAAATTTGTTCTGTGATTCAGCTTCTCAAAAGAACTTTTTTGTTTTTAATGGAAAACATGAAATATTAAGTGTTTAAATGAAGAAATAGTAACCTTATGTGTGTAATGATGGTAGACTAGATGATCTTTAAGGTCCCTGACAACTCTCTGATTTTACAATCTATATGAATCTCCAAGACTTCATGAAAGTAATTTATTTAAGGCACAAAACTTTGAATATTGATAATTTTGTTTACATGAAATTTTGCATGAAATTTTAAAGTTCTTTGGGCAGTGTTATTCTACTATGAATTGGAGGGTTTGAGGATTTTTTAATGCTATCCATCCTCCCAAATTAATTCCATAGGTTGATTTTTTTAAAAAAGAAATCTATTTTATATTTAATTTTCTATAGGCAATCTCAAGTACTAGGTCACATTGTTAATCATTTATTCATTCATTCAACAAATATTTATTTTAGGGTACCAGGTACTGTTCCAAGTGCTAGTGGCATAGCAGTGAATAAAATATTCAATGTTATTCCACGTAATGACTAAGCCAACCCTTGTTTTTTTGAAACCTTTCCTTCCTTTTGAATTATGTGAAGACCAAGATTTTAGTATCTTTTGGGGAGTGAATATAAAAGTCTTTTTTGGATTCAAATCTCTTTTAGTTTTGACTTTAGGTCTAGTGTCTTACTCTATTAAAACTATATATTGAATTTTGTCTTCTGGAAAGTTAAGGTAGAATTTTGTCACTTTGTCCAGTCTTCTTTTCTTGTTAATTCTGTTTCTTTCGAAGTTTCTGAAGAATGATATTTAAAAAGCCTTAGGTTAATTCATTGTTACAGCACAATTAATATTGAGTCCTTTAACTCTGTAATACTTCTAGTTCCATGGAACCTTTAAACTCACTTTAATTCCCTAGATTTCTAGAACAAAATACAAGATAATTGGCCATATCTCTCATGTTATATGGTTGCCTTTCATTAATTTTCTTTATAGAAAGCCTGAGATTAGATTTAGAAGGACTTCAATTATTTTCCTCTTTTTTAAATGTAGACTATAAAGTTACACAGAGGGAGCTTTACATTATATGAGACCTATAACAACCTTCATGTCCATTTTTGGTTAGTAAAGATTCCCTAATTTTATAAACATTAAAGAAACAAGAAAATTTTTATTTTAGGAAGTTTATCTCTCCTTAGATTATCATCACATATTTTATATAGTTGTGAATTTTTCTTCCCTAAGTATTAGTTTTCTCCTGAGTTCTCTTAAATCCCAAAGCTAGCAGTGAGAGTGGGTTTTTTTTGTTGTTGTTCAAAGTCATTTTTTTTTACTACAGGAATACCACCAAACTTTTTTTTCCTGATGATAAACTAAGTTTTATTGTTACAGTTGAAATATTTAACAAGGAAAGAAAAACTTTTTTTTTTTAAATGACAGCACTTCGTGGAAATCCATGATTTGACAGATCATGATCATGTCTCATGTTTACTTTCCACCTCACAGAAATAGGTACAAAATATTCTCCATTTTAGTATCTCACACTTGTGTAGAATACTGGATACGTGAATTTAGCTTGACTACAGATTTGCATTCAATTTATTCAATCATATTTAAATAAATATCAAAATTAGTGATTTTCATAAGTATCCCAAAGTGAATTGTTAATTGCTAAAAATTGTTTGGTGCAGTCTCACTGACCAATTGGCCTTTGAGGTTGATTTGTCTCTAACCTGAGGTGGAACACTGGAATGACCTTTATGTGTATTCCTTAATGAAAGCTCATCTTAGTAAATTACCATTGTTTGAAGATAAATGGCCTTGGAACAACCATTTCAAAACTTAAGTTAATGAAGGAAAAATTATTTTATTCATATAGATATTTTTCTATTTTAAATTAGCACTAATTTTACACAGAGTAAATTATAGCCACCAGCTGCAGACTCACAGTTCTGCATTATATTGAGATGAATATGTCAATGACCAGCTTAAATACTGTTCTTATTCCTTAATCATTAATACCATTACATTGTTCATTTTTATTTTTTTTCCTTAAATACTCTGACATTCTGATATTTTCAAAGTCAGCATATCTGGATGTTCAAGTAAAACATTTATTCATTTGTTCATGGCTACCTTGACTTGTAGCCCCTTAAAAAATTCTTGAACAGTGGTATGATATAAAAAAACACATGTTTATCTTCAGAAAATAAGTACTTTTCCAGTTTTAAAGTGATTACTGTGGAATTTAAAGTGCCAACATTCCATTGCTTAAAAAATTGACTCAGGTGCTTGGTAACAGGGGACTTAGTATGATGGAAAAAAGAAACAGTGATCAGCACCTGCTGGAAAGTCTATAGCTAGGGGTTTTTTCATTAAGATAAACAGATGTCCATTTCCATACATTCCAGGATCCATTAAGGCCTCACTGACTTTAAGAGGCTCTTTTATTTGTGCATATTTAGACATACTTTTTGGTAAATGAATGACTGGAAACCTCTGTAGCCTCTTTTTTATTTTTCACTGACAGCTTTGCTTTTTAATTTTTTCTTTTGTTCTTATCACCATTTTCTTTTTTTAAGCCATTTTAACTGAATGATTCATCTGCTTTCATATAATCCTAGGTAAAAGGGAGTTTTTTTTCTCAGAGTTGGCTTTCGTCTGTCTCCCATCCACTTTTCTTCCTCTGTGACTTCAGTCATATCCATTGTCATCATAGTAATTTGTTTATTCTAGACGTCACATACAAGTGAAGCTAATGTGGTAGTGTTATACTTCATACTTCTCTTACTGCATATTTAATTACTACTAATAAAGATACAGATATGCCATTTTAATTCTAAGCATTGTATAGTTCTTTTAAAATTCTTTGTAGTCATGCATTCATTTAATCTTCCATTTGTGCTTTCTGAACCAGGCAAGTATTGTAAGCAGTTAAGAGGATGCATTATTTAGTTAAATGCCTTTTATCTAAAGGAATTCACTAGTGATGCTTGATAAGATTCTTTATTCCAAAAGTTCATTCATTCTTATATAAATGAGTGCCTACAATGTGCCAGCCTTTCTTCTAGGCATTGGGAATGTAGCTGGAGACAAACAAAGGTCTATGCCTTCCTGGACTTACATTCTAGTGGAGGGAGCAGATGGTAAATAATAGAATATTATTAAAAGCATATTAGATTGTGTTATGTGCTATGGAGGAACATAAAACAGAATGGGACTAGGGAATTCTTGGGGAAGTGTTTAAATGGGGTGGTCAGAGAAGGCTTCACTGAGAAGGTGGTATTTTTTTTCTTGAGCCCTGTGGCCGTGCTCTTCTTGCTGAAATAATTACCTTTTGTGCCCTGTTTAAACAACTGGCTAAGCATCCATTACTGACACCAATCTGATTGTTTTAGAAACAGAGAAATTTAATTTTTTGTGTGTGTCCCAGGAGTAGTGACTGGGAACATTTGGAATCCAAGGCATTTTTTGGTATTGAGTTTTTTTCTTTCTTATTTTGGTAATTTTATTAATCTATATTGTTGATGAAGTGAAGTGCTATTGCATTACCCAGCATGTGGATTGACTTTCTCTATTTGAGGAGGTGTTTATTACCAGCTGTCAAGATTTTAACTTGGCTCTGACCTGGTTGCACAAAGGCTGCCATTCCTAGTTACTTGCCACTGCTGATGTGGAATACCACTCAGTGCATGCCATGGCATATGTAATAAGAGGTTGGGAAGTTATCCCTTTCTAAAAGTCTTTTGAATCTTTCAAATCTAAATCATACATCATCTAGTATAAGCCTAACTATTAAGTGTAATCAAAATGACTAAGAATATTCACTTTTCATACCATAAATAGCTAGTACATAAAATAAGGTTATCAAAGTATACAAATAATATTCCTTCATAAGATAATTGTTATATAATCCTGTGTTCATACTCTGAATGAAATTTCTAAGTCCATTTACACAGAACAGTTGGTGTTTGAATTTTTAAATAGTTCCCCCTCCTACTGTTGTTAAAAGCTTAGTAGTTTTCCTTGCTAATATATGGTTTTCCAATATGTGTATTCTCCAGCTGGGTTTTTCTGTTTTTTATTTTAGGTGCAACATATTTCTATTATAACTTATAGGCTTAATAGCTGTGACCTTGGGCGAGTTATTTAAACTCTCTAGGCCTCAACTTCTTCATCTATAAATGAATATAATAATAGTGCGACCTTAACAGAAATAATACTTTTTAAACATTTAGCATAGTATCTAGATCATAGGAAGCACTTAAAAATTAGTTATTCTTATTTATAATGATAATATAATATTAAATATACAATAATAATGGAGAAAGACATATTTCCAGTATTCTTTTTTCATATTTTTATATGTTTAAATTACTATCATGTCTTTTTTTGCTCCTCTACCTTATATATAATTATCAATCTCTAATGAAAATTTTATTTTAAAGTTTTTTTACTTCTATAATTCTATAATAGTCATTCTATAATTTATAGTAACCATTAGTTGTTTTCTCATTTGTGTCTAAACCTGATCAGAAAACATTTATTTATTATTTAATTTTTTTTAATTACAGGTAGATGCCTCTGAGAGTGAACCAAAGAGTTTTATCTTTATGAGTGAGGATGCTTTGACAAATCCACAGAAACTGATGGTTTTAATTCATGGTAGTGGTGTTGTGAGGGCAGGTCAGTGGGCTAGAAGGCTTATTATAAATGAAGATCTGGACAGTGGCACACAGATACCTTTTATTAAGAGAGCTATGGATGTAAGTGCAATTTCCTTTATTTTTTTTTGGCATTTTATAGCTCTGTTTTAGTATGTGTTATAAATTATTTTATCATGTCTTTTAAAAAGTCTTTCCTAAACATAGTCTTATCTTTAAATTGTTCTTATTTATTTTATTTGTAGTGAAAGATTATTCTGTATTATTTTGCCTTTACAATAAGAGCAAAAACGCATCTTAAGTATACGAACATTTAGATAAAATCTTTGAAATGAGTATTTTCAGTTCTAAATTTTTTCGTTTCTTATTACATGAAATATCAGTTAAATTATCAAATACTTATCAATATTATTGAAAATACTTCTGAAAAAAATCATGACTGCTTTTGTAAATCTCTGCCTACGTGATTTAGTGAAGTTAGAGACTAAAGGAATTCTGCTACCTTTAAATTAATATCTTATTCTTAAAAAACGACTCTTTAGAGCCCACAAATGTAATGCTTTATGAATAAGACAAAGACATACAAAATGGTAAATTGCAGTATTTACTGAATTATACTTTCTTCTTACTTGAATTTCAACTTTTTAGAAATTGGTGTTTTAAAATTGTGTTCAAGGTTTTCTTTCCTGTAGTGGTGAAATTTCTTTTTCTGACCTAGCTTTGTTACATCTTAATATTTGGCGACTTGTTTTACTGTCTTATTCTTAAGTTCTGCAATGAATAGTTAAATTTTGCAAAGTTGCTTTTCTTTCACATATAAGCAGAGATTTTCTTCAGAAAAATAAAGGTAAAGTGACATCTTTACTTATAAAAGGTTAATATAATAACGGAAAGTTATCACGTATGCTTTATAAGAGCTACATTATTACATTTTTGTAATTAAAAGTGGAAAGATATTACTTGATACACTTATGATTGCAAAGGTCAAAGATATGTTTCCTACTTTAACTCTGAAATGATAAGCGTAAAGCTCAGCCCAGCTCCTAAAGAATATTTTGTTAATAGATTTTGAGGCCCTTAAAATGCTGCAAGTAGAATTTCATAGGTGAATTGTGTATTTTTTTTTTTCAGTCTTCATGGATGTGCAAAGAACACAAAGACATTACTTTTGATTCGTTGCAAACTTCGATAGTGTGTTTTTTGGTAGAATTTAAGTAACTAAAATAAATTTATTTAAACTGCTTCATATTTCAGGTTATGAATAGTGAAATGAACTTACTCTCTGGCACATTAGTTAGTGGTTAGGACAGATGCTGTTGATGTATTTTAAGAACTTTACATGTGAAATGTGATCACAATTTGGTGAATATTTGAACATACAATTTAGTAAAGAAAATCAGATGTTTGTACAAACACGTGCTTGGTGAGATACTTTATGTAAATTATATTGTCTGTGCTACTAGATCAACTAAGCCTTTCCCATTCTAGAATATTTTATTGTTGTACAGGGTTTTTTGAAGTATAGGGGAGTATAGGGCTATAGAGTATAGAGTATAGGGAAAGCCATCCCAAATACCTTTGAACAAACTATCTGTTGAGATCCTAAACAAGAGGGAGGAGGTTTATCAGTAACATTAGAATAGTCAGTCATTTTGTCCTTTTAAGTAGGAATAGTGGGGGATAACAGCATTTCATTGCCTTGCCATTTTTGTGCTTTTCTCAGTCAGAGCAGCTCAGGGTTCCTTGAAATAAAGCAGCTGATTTCTAAGTTCCTTAGTATTTAGTGTATGTTGTGTACTTTGAAAAGTTTAGTTTATATACTTTATTCTCAATTTTATGAACTTTATTCTGGTAACTTTCTACATGGTGAACATTTAAAAATGGATATCTCTTTTTAATTCAGATAAAGTGATTTTATTACTTTGGTTTTACTTTTTCATGGTGTTTCTCTGGTAATTCTTCAAGGGTTGCTCTGTGTTTGTGTGTGGGAGGGTGTGGAGACAGGTGGGGGAAAGGATGGTATTTTAGGAAGCAGGAAGAGGAAGACTAACAAGGAAAAAGAAGTTGTCTCATTCTTTTTAATCAGATTACTCCTACATGTTTTTATTTTCTGGACTTTTTTCTAAAATTGTATTTAAAGAAATGTTTCCATAGTTTACAAAGGGCTGGGAGCCACTACTCTGTTTTCCATGGTCTGTCCATTTTCATATCACAACTGCAGTAAATTCTGATATTTTTCAGGCCAGACAAGATTATCTCTACTCAGTGTTGTTAATAATATTTATGCTATATTCCTTGCAGATTTTTAGTATAAGATAAAAGGTCCTAAAATAGGAGTCATATCATGGTAAGGTTAAAACTTTTTTCCAACACTAGAACCCTGCCTCTACTGGACTGTTTTGTAAAAAAAACAAAACTTGTGTTTGAATCTGTGGAGCCACTTTGGTTGAAGCTGAAGTGAAGATTGGAACCATTCTCACAACAGCACCTGAGATTTATTCCCTGACCCTGGGGCTCCATAGATGACAGTTTAAAAACTACAGATACTCTAATCCCTGCAGTTTAGATACTTAAGAACTTTATTATTAAAAATGTATTAAGATTTCTTGTTGGAGAAATAGTACATATCAGATAAATGCCCACAGTGCTTCTCAGGAGGCATAGCTAATATTTTCAGTGCTTAACAATCTTAATTGCATAATATATTAATTGGAGTAAGAAACAGTATATCATATAGCCAAGTACTAATTATTCAGTGTCTGATTGTGCAGTTTGAGATTTTCTCATACTTATTTCTTCTCTGATCTTTTCAGGCATTTTAGTTGATCTCTATAAAAAGGGCAAGGAAAATAGGTGACAGTTTGTTTCATTACTAATTGCAGGGGTGGTACAGGGGTACAAAATTTAAGGGGTCAGTCACTCTCATGATGTGCAGTCCTTGTAGGACCGTGAGAGTGAGTGCCTCCTTAAATTTCGCACCGTAGACATGTCACCGATCTCTCCCTATCCAGGCTTTGACTGATTGAGATGTATATACTGTCGAAAAGTTTCATGGGGAGCAGTTTGGAAGCCCCTGGTCCATGAAGTCAAATTTTTACCATGCATCAGAATCACGTGGAGGGCTTCTTGAAACAGATTGCCCTGTTCAGATCCCAGGTTTTAATTCAGAAGGTCTGGTTGGGGCCTGAGAATTTACATATCTGAGAATATCTCAGGTGATGCCAGTGCTGCTCGTTGGGCACCACAGAGAACCACTGGCGTAGGTAATACTTTTTGGATTGGTTGAGAATTTATATATACTTTTCAGGCTTTAGGTGTAATGCATAAGGTGGGACTTGATGGCAATTATATTTAGTGTGACAGAGGATGAGAAGTTCTAGAAAATGTTTTATAATAAAATCAGTGAAGTAAAAGTTTAAATTATAAAGAGTACTCTCAAAGTACAAGTGATTCATATCCAATGTGACTTAAATTTTTTTAATTTTAATAAGTTTTTGGGAATTCTGATAACTTGACTAAGCCTACATTGTTTTCTAATTTCTCATAGTTGGATTATTCAGAAGACTCTACTATTTCCGTAATTACTTACTTTGCATATAATTTTCATACTGTTATATCTAAGTTTTTTAAATTAATGCTATTTTTATCAATGTAATGTATACAATTTGGGTTCTATAACATGGTGGACTGAGTTAATTAACAGTCACTTGTCCCTCCCACTAAACACCCATAAAAATAATGGAATAAAACATAGCAATAACAAAAATATTAAAGACCTAGTTATGTTCAAAAGATAGAAAAAGAATCTTTAAATTCCTGACTACAAGAAAGAACTTAAAACCCCAGTGGTAAATCCCTGGAGGGTGTGGCAGCCCGAAGGTGATATTTGATGAGGTATAAGACCTAGGCCCCAAGGGGTCCACAGCACAGCTTTGAGCCTGAGAAGCAGGATCTAAAACTAAGACCCTGGAAGCTTCTGCCTTTTTAGTTTTTAGAGGTGCAAAAGTCAGTTTGCCAGAGGTGCCAGGTGGGGTAAATAAACAGCCTCCCCTGAGATATAGAAGCCACAGATCCTAACCCAAAGGTGGATTTAGATTTGCAGTTTGAATTGAGACAACTTATTTAGTGTGGGAATCTCAAGCACTGTAAATTCATGTAAAAATGGACTTTGGACTGATGAAACTTCTGGGTTACCAAGTGGAAACAAACATAAAAGTGCCAACAGCAACACTTTACAATTCAGGGTAAATCCCTAATGAAGAAGAATTTGTAGTCAGAAACTAAAAATTATTTGAGGAAATGATTCATTACAAAGAAAAGTCAAGTCAAGCAAAACTATCAGGCACCGTTGAAGAGAGTTAGTAAATTAAAAGTTAGAATTGGGGAATACAGTATATAGAATATAGCAGAGAAAACCTGAGAAAAAAATTATAATAGATAAAAAGTCATGGAGAATAGAATAAGATCTAATAATCCTCTAATAGATGTTTCAGAAAAGCAATAGAAAAGAATGGGAGAAAAAGCAATATATTAGTGGTAGAGTGTTTATGAGAATATAGACACAAATCTTTGTAGAAAAAGCATGGCATATCTTGAGCAAGACAGATAAATCTACACTTAAAACTTATTAAAATAAAACTGTAGAACATCAGAGGATACAAGCATATAATCTTAAAAATCAAGTAAAAACAAATGACATACATCAAAATAAAGGTTATCCTTTCCTAATCCTTCCTCAGCTGTTAGTTCTGTTCCCTAGATGTAATAACTCTCAATACTTTTTGGTTTTAATTATATTCTCTATATCAACATTTTTTAATTATAGTGCTGTCTCTTGATTTATCAGTCACTTTCTTTTATGGCACATAAGAATCTCTTTCCCATTCCCACAGTTTTTGGATTAATTCAGCAATCAAGCTTTACAGTATTACTACTACTTTAATATTGCTTATGACTGAACCAAGTAGGTACTGTGGTTGCTACTCATTTCTGCTACAAGTTTATTTTCATAGAATTAATAATTTCCTAACTGTTTTCTGTTTTCTTTGTAATAGTTGTTAATTCTGATTGGCCTTTCTAATTTTTTACATGGCTAAATTTAT